GTGTTTTTGTGTCTTTTGGGTAGATACCTAGGAGTGGGATTGCTGGGTCATAGGGAAGCTCCATGTTTAGCAGTTTGAGGAACCTCCAAACAGTAGAAAACATAGGTATTTTAATGCGCCATTCCATCTTCACAGTGATTCATGAATCTCACCGAAGGAAACTGATATCTGAGAGAAGACATTTACCCAGTGACAGAGCTGTCAAGATCAGGCAGAACTTGAGCCCAGGACAATCCCTAACCCATTCTAGTTCTTCAGTGTGGAGACAGGAATATGTGGATTCAATCTCAGCTCTTAACTACTAGCTTTTGACTTTTGGCAAATCATTTAATCCTGCTGAATCTGTTTCTTCATCTGTAAAATGAGGTAAAAGTTTCCCTACTAGGTTTAAATGAGACCTAAGAAGGTTTTCCCAGCAATTACTGAGTGCTGTGTGCCAGGAACTATACAATGAGCTGCATATATATTATCCCATTTAACCCTCACAATAACCCTACTCAGGGGATTCTATTTTTATATCCATTTTATAGGTAAGGAAACTGAGGCTCAAAGAGCTTAAGTCATTTCCTCAGCATCACAAAACTAGTCAGTAATTGGGCTTGGATTTGAACCTGGGTCTGTCAGTCTCAGGGCAGTATCAGGCAACATGGGTAACGCTTAGCATTGTTCTTGCAATATACACACACCAAATAAATAGCAGTCATTATTTACTGTTATTATTGTGAATACAATTATTAAGGCATATGTGATTGGTCTGTTTTTCATCAGCTTGGTCCAGACATCAAGAACCGAACTGAACTAAGACGGGAAGGCCCCTGTTCCATAGGAATAGGACAGGGGAGGGAGAGGAAGCAAAGTTGGGTATTGTTTCTCTAAAACTTTGGCATCTGACTCATTCACTGAGGGCCTGGAACAGCTAGTGACTCCTGACTGGGAAACAGCTTCTGCGGGAGGGGGCTGTGACCTAGTAATGGCTCTGGTGGCCACCTGCCCCTCCGTCCCATTCCGGCTGCCTGTGTGGAGACCCTGAAATCCACTGCCCCACAATCTGGGCCTCTGCTGGTCTCTGCAGATGGGTGCGGACGATTAAAGATCCAGAGGGAGAGGGAGAGGACCCATTTAAAAGTGCCCAGCGAGCACAGACACGCAGCCTGGAAGCTCAGCCTCTACCTAGGCCCAGCCAGCATGAGTCACTCGGCAGCTCTTTGCCTGAGTTGCAACACCACAGACAGAAACTCCACAGCCTTCCAGGAGGCGGGCAGACTGGTGCCCAGAGACGTGTGCCATCCTTTGGACTGCAGTAGCTTTGCAGTTACAGTTGGCACCAAGTGGCCCTCCTGCCACCAATAACCTTTGTGAAGTTGTTAGGCACCCAGGCCCGGCTCTTAGCTCTGCCACTTCCAGGCCCTGAAGTGTGAGCAGCTTACTAAGTGACTTCATATGTAAAGTTTCCTCATCTAGAAACCAAGGAGAACAAAAGTATCTATCTCATGGGTTGTTGGAAGGATTAAATGAGATAGCGCAAGCTCCAGTCAGCATAGCATTAAGGCTGAGACGCTCACAGTGAGCACACGTGTGCCAGGCACTGCAGTGGAGCCTGGAAAGCATCTGTGACCACCACAGACAGTCTCTGCTCCTACGGGGTTGACATTCCAGAGGAAGGAGGGATAGACAATAAACAACTAGAAAAATATAAAAAAGTCATCAGGACTTTGCAGAGCACCAGAATAAAGAGGATGATAAGTGAGTAAATGTCTACTTTATTAACAAGGTCGGCTAGAGAGGCCTCATTAGCAGGTATTACTGTTCTTCACTATTACTTGTCAGGGTCCCTGCCAATGCCCCCTTAACGAGAAACCCTCTGATAGTTCTCAAACACAGTACCCCCTCTCCAAAAGCCTGAACCCCACCAAGAGAGCTCCTGTGGCTCTGTCTTGACTCTGAAAACCTCTATCAAATTGGCAGGAGCAGCAGAAACCTCACCTTTCCCTGAGAGAAGGAACGGGCCAAGGTGAGGCTCCCAGGAAGACAAACAAAGGGGTGCTTGGCCAATGGAGTGGGGTGGGGGGGCACAGAGAGAACAGAGAGTGAAGGGAAAGAGAAGACACCAAAATCTTTAGCTTAGGTTTAATTTCAAATTAATCCTGGTTGGCACTCTTAAAGCATTGTCCTGTTTGTGTCTGTGGATCTTCTGGGTTTACCAACCTTGTTCTTCACAGAAGAGAGCTCAAGGTAATTATTCCACAATTACTTAGTCTAACAGGTATCTGGTTTCTCCTGCGCCCCCCCATGCCTAACACAGCACTGATTAGAGTCCGTGAAGTGACCAGCTCGCTAAGGCTTTGGAGGTGGCTGATTTCAATTTTTCCAACCCCCCTCCCCCCCCCACTAGAGGTATGTTGTTTGCTCACATGTCATTCAGATCTGTATCACACCAAATAAAAGGCTGCCTCCCACTCTAGTGCCCCACCCCCCACCACACACACACACACACACACACACACACACACACACACACACCTGGTTGTAAACTCCTCTAGAGCAGTGGCCCTGCCTTTTTGGTCTGTCTCCCCATAGTGGGACCTGGCCCAAAGTAGATGCTCAGTGGATGTCTACTCAGTTGAGGCCACCGACTTCAGGTCAAGAGACAGTCAGATTGGAGATGACTGTAGATCAGGTCTGGACTCTAACATTCACTAGCTTACGCCCTTGGGCAAGTCACTTTACATCTCCAGCTTCCATTTCCTAACTCATTAAGTGTGGGGGGGGAGAGGAAAAGGGGAGGCGGGAGGGTAATATCACTTACCGTAGCCTATCACATAACTTAGTGTGATAATCAAAAGAAGTCACTTGAATAGCTATGAAAGATTATTCGGAAATAAGGTTTTATCTTAAGGCAAAAGCTCTGAAAAAAAAAATTTAGGCAGCACCTCAAGATCTGCTCTTTTCCCAGAACTCCCCATGGCTATGAAGTATCTGAAATTAGGTAGAGGAGGAGGGGGCAAAAGAAATTGGGAGGGGGGTGTTCCCGGGTATCCAAGATACGAACTAGAAACAGGAACTGAGATTTCCTTCAGCCAAGTATCTGTTTGTCTCTGTACTTTTCCTCTAGCTATCTTCTTTCCAATATTTTTTTTCCTCCTTCCCTCCTCCCTCATCTCCGCCCCCCACCCCCTCACCAAGATGGAATTGGCCAGCTCCACCCCAGCCGGCCCCCCATGACTCCACCCCCAACTCGGCATGCCAAGAGTTAACAGCTGCACCTGTTGAGGTATACCTGCTGTCGCCGGCACCTGTACCCACAGCCAATCAGCGCCAGCGCTGCCGGGGAACCTACCTGTCAGCAAAATCCCGACACTCAAACCTCAACATAAATCAAACACTTCCCTGGGCAGGGAATGTCTGTGTCAGGCAAGAACTAGAGACCAGCGGTCAGCAGAGCCTCGAGCCAAGCCGATCCTTGGAGCCCGGGAGCGGGAAGATGTCGAATGAACTTGAGTGAGTAAACACGGTGGATGCCTGTGGCTCTCTGCGCTCAGAGGCTGGATGGGGCTTCCAGAGGGGGAAGAGCAGGGAGGCCAGAGCCAGGATTCACAGAGCAATTTGTAAGGGTAAATGAATGGGCTGACGCTCTCACCCTGGCGTGTTGAGGCAAGCCCCATCTTAAGCTAGAGCCCAGTGTTTCCCTGGGAAAATATTTTTTTTTCTTTCTTTCCCTGCTAAGCAGTTTCGAGCCAGGTTCAGAAACAAGGGACTGAAACTGTGAAAGTTTTCGGTACCACTTCACTGTGAAGGGGCCTTAGAAATCAGAGACAGCCCCAATCCATCTAGGCTTTCTGTCTTCTTGCCAAAAGGAACTTCTTTGAGGTGGTTCTAACAGCTGTCTTAGGCAGAGAGTTGGGTTTCTCTAAAAGGACTTGTTTGTTGGGTTGGAACAGTCCCAAGTAGGAAGGTTGTAGTATTGTGGTTAAATAGCCACACTCTGTAGTCAGCGTGACCTAGCTTCAAATCCCTCTCTGTCCTTCAGGGGCTGTGAGAGCTTGGGGAAGTCATTCAAGCCATCTGAGTTTCATCTTCGTCGTCTAGAAAATGGGTATAAAGTGCTTTCTGGAGTTCTTGAGAGAGTTAAGGGTGATGAAGACTATAAAATGCTTAGCATGGAAGGAATCAAGGGCTGAAGATGCGTTCAATAAAATGTGGTTGAATTTATTCAGAGGCAGTTCTAAGGCTGAGGAGGCTGAGATGTGGTTTTCGGTGAGGTCACCTCTATTGCTTGGCAGGATGTAGGTGCCTTCCAGCCCACATCTGGGATTTAGAATTCCCACGGGCTGATGCTGACCTTAGCCATGGACCTGCTCACGGTCCAGGTCTCTGAGAAGGTGGGATGAACCTGTGTTCAGGGAGCTGGCAAAAGCCAGACTTCTAAAACACAGGCTCTTCTCTCCAGGTGAGTGGGCAGCGACAAGGGCTGAACAATCTTTCATTATTTTTTTTCCTAGCTACTCCTCAGTAGTTTTTCTTAAGAACTGGAGGGCCTGAGGGCAGAGCAGTTGGTGGGCTCTGACTGCAGAGTTCCAGGACACTAGTCAGCTCTTGGGTTCCCCTGGGTTAGTCAGCTACGTTCATCATACAGCCGCTGGGGTCTACTAGCAACACAGTTCCTGTGAATGAGTTTTTGGGGACTGACAGCATGTTGACAACTGGAATAAGAGCAACGCCCTGAAGCCAGTCCTGGGTCCCAATTCTGCCACTCACTAGCTGTGCAACTTTGGGCCAGTCACATCATCTGAGCCTCTGCGTCCTCTCCTGTATATCATTGTGGTCACAGAGCCAGTCAACTCATTTTGCTGTTGGGGAATTTTAGGGAAGTGATTGATTTAAAGCCTGGTAAGGGGGAAGAAGCCAGGATACCTCTGAAACCTGCTATAGGAGCAACCATTTCCAAACCTATGGCTTTCTATTTTTCCATCCTTTGAAAACAGAACTCTTGTGCTGGGTCTCCATCCCACTTAGGGACTGCAGGTTAAAATCACTTTCAAAATCTATTCGCTGGTGCCCCTTAGGGGGTAAGTCCCAAAGCTGGGGCTGCTTTCTCCTCAAGGATTTGGATTTGAGGTCAGATCCGCTGACAGTTCAGGCTTCTCCCTTTGGGGTGGGGTGAGGGGACCCAGAGCCTGCAGAGTAATTGCCACCATTTGAGATGATAAAGACAGAGCTCGACTGCCTGGGGGCGCAGCTGCCCTTACAGATATGTGGAGGTGGAGGCAAAGGCATCAAGTGCTTGGCTTGCAAGTTCTGAGATGCCGCTGCTGAGACACTGAGCCATTCCCTGAAAAACGTGCCGAGGTAGGAGGACTAGATCCATCTTGAGCCCCACCAGAGGGCCAATTCTTGCCAGGCCTGGGGCTTAGTGGGAAAAGCCCGACTTGTACATGACTTGAAATCCCGCCGCTTGGCAACTGCGGGAAGCTGGTGTGTTTGTTCTCCTTTCTGTCCCTCAGTTTCTCACCTGTCCAATGACTACAGACACCTATGTGGCAGAGCAAAGGGTGAGCCCTGTCTGTGAGGGACTCACAGAGGGGCCCAGAGGAGCTCCATAAACTGGCCTCTCCCTGACTAGGTCTCGCAGGCAGGCGACTCCACCAAGGCCCAGCAGGGCCGTCAGAACCCAGCTCGAGGCGGCTGGCAGGTGGAGCACGGGCCTTTCATGTGGTCGGGCCAGCGCCGCCGGGAGCGTCGGCCAGCCGCTTCGGGAGCCTGCGGCCGGCTGGCTCCGACTGCCCCAGAACCCGGGCGCTGGCAAAGGCAGCTGGGGC